TGACCTCTAGGCCAATTGACTGTGAGAATCAGCTTTGTCTGCAGCGGGAGAACTTCTGTGCTGGAACCCCCCTCCGGGGAAAGACTTCCTTCAGTGGGGCTTTGGTGCTCACTGAGTCTGCCCCCTGGGTGTGTCCCTTATGGATCTGAGGAGTTGTAATCTGGATGGTCCCCCTCTGACCACTGGGTACAGTGGCTCTTGGATCTAAGGAGGTGCTAATTTAGCCTCTGCCTGAGGCTACCCAGCAGGAGCTATTGAGAGATCTGCAGATTCCTCTTCTGTGTTTGGGGTTTAGAGGTGCCCAGATGAGGCCCAGCTGTGAAGCAATGCAAGCTGCTGTGGGGCCTTGGGCCTTCTCTTGGAAGTTCTGGGTCTGTCTGGCCCAGCTGCAGTTTGTTAGGTAATTTTAGATTGCAAAGTGCCAGGCCATTCATATGCAAAAGCCTCTGTGCACAGCTTCGGGGAGGTGGGGTCTCAGGGGATCAATAGGGTGGAGAAAACAGCTATGGCTGATCCTCAGCCCTGCCCTAAGAGGCCCAGGGTCTCAGTGTCCCACGGTAATCGCTGTAAGCATCTCTGAGAGAAAGCCACCCTCGAGTTCTACTGGATGTCAGACAGTTCAGGTTCTTCCTGTATGAGTCTGAGTCCCCAGAGACTCGCTCGGAACTGGAGTTCACAGCAGTCGGGAGCTTGTGTCTCCCTCCCAATTGGAAAAGACAACCGTGTCCTCATTTGTCAAATGCTTTTCCTGCATCAATTGATATGATTATGTGATTTTTGTCTCTCAGTTAGTTTATGTGATGTATCACATTTATTGATTTGCAGATATTGTACCATCCTTGCATTCCTGGAATAAATCCCACTTGGTCATGGTATATGATCTTTCTAATGTATTGCTGAATTTGATTTGCTAGAATTTGTTGAGGATTTTAGCATCTATGGTCACCTGTGGCTCTCTTTTTTTTGTGGTGTCTTTATCTGGTTTTGGGATGAGGGTAATGCTGGCTTCATAGAAAGAGCTTGGAAGTGTGCTTTCCTCTTGAATTTTTTGGAATAGTCTTAGGAGGATGGGTGTTAGTTCTTCTTTGAATCCTTGGTAAACTCCCCTGTAAAGCCATCCAGACCAGGCTTTTGTTTGCTGAAAGATTTTTGATTGCTGTTTCAATTTCTTCAGTAGTTATCAGCCTATTCAGGTTTTTTTTTTTATTCTTCTTGGTTGAGTTTTGGGAGCTTGTATTTTTCTAAGAAAATGTACATTTCATCTAGGTTGTCTATTTTATTGGAATAGAATTGTTCATAGTATTTTTCCATTATGTTTGTATTTCTGTGGGATCGGTTGTTACTTCACCTCTTTCATTTCTGATTTTATTTGGGTCCTCTCTCTGTGCTTCTTGGTGAGCCTGGCTAGAGGTTCATCAATCTTGTTTATCCTTTCAAAGAACCAGCTCTTGGCTTTGTTGATCTTTTGTATTGTGTTTTGTGTGTTTTTTTTTGGTCTCTTGTTTATCTCCACTCTGATCTTTATTATTTCCTTCCATCTGCTTATGCTGGGCTTTTCTTGTTGCTCTCTTTCTAACTCTTTGAATTGTATGGTTAGTTCATTTATTATCATTATTTCTTGTTTTTTGAGGAAGGCCTGTAGAGCTATGAACGTCCTTCTCTGGACTGCTTTCACTGTGTCCCATAGATTTTGGGTTGTTGTGTTTTCATTGTCGTTTGTTGCCATGATGCTTTTATTTCTTCTTTGATCTCTTTGGTAACCCAGTCATTGCTTACTAGTGTGCTATTTAGCCTCTAGGTGTTTGATTGTTTTTGTTTTTATTGTATTTGATTTCTAGTTTTATGCTACCCAATCTTCTAAACTCCATCTTCGAAGTCTTATTCTCAGGACATCCTCTGCCTTACTTCACAGAGAAACATAATGTACTTTAGATTGAAGCTTGAGATTTATTTTTGTCACTAAATGTGCCAAATATACCCACCCCATCTTTCCTTTTTTCTAATAAAATTAAAGTACTGCTTCTCCATCTTTCTAAGGTTAATCTCTTGTATGTCTTTATTCTTCGTAAAGAATTACTTTTATTCTATATTACATACTATATTACATACTTCATGTCAACATTTAAATATACTCACATCATTCCCATTTTAAAAACAAAAGAAAAAACAGTCTTTGATTCATTACAACTTGGCATCGCTTCGCTCCACATAAACGGCTCTTCCTATGTTTATCAATGAAGTTCTATTTAAATCTGATATTTTTAAATCTTTATTTTGCTTGACCTCTTAGAATTTGAAATTTCATGCACTGGGCCACTTGAATAATAAATTACCACAAGTGTGGTGACATAAACTATCACCCATTTATTATCAAACAGTTCTATAGGCTATAATCCCAGGCACAGTGAGGCTAGATTCTTTGCTAAGGGTGTCAAAGGCCAAATTCAGGATGTTGACTGAGTTCTTATTCAGAGGGTCTGTATGAGAAGCTCCTGAATGAATGAAAAATTTTCAGGCCAGCAGGGGGGCAGTTAGGGGCAATCAGGCCTGCAGGCAGGCAGAGGCAGTTAGGAGTGATCAGGCAGGCAGGAAGAGGGGTTAAGGGCATCAGGCAGGCCAGTAAGTGAGTGGTTAGGAGCCAGTGGTCCAGAATTGCAAGAGGGATGTCCATTTGCTGGTTTAGGCCTGATCCTAAACCAGCAGGTGGACATCTCCCAAGGGGTTCCAGATTGGACAGGGTGCAGGCCAGGCTGAGGGACCATTCCCTCCGCCCCCTATGCATGAATTTCATGCACTAGGTCTCTAGTTTTAATATAAATTCTGTAACATCTTACATTTATTTTTTATAGTTCAAAAAGACATTTATGAGAATACCAGAGGCCCTATGCACAAAATTTGTGCAAGAGTAGATCTTCTCCCCCCAACCCCCCCACCCCTCGATGACAGCACCGCTTCCCTCCAATCTCCGGCAGGCACCTGGGACCTGGGCTTCCCTCGCAGCCCTGGCTTCATCCAGACGGTCATCCAGAAGGACATCCCATCTAATTAGCATATTACACTTTTATTATTATAGATATTGGAAGTTAGGAAAACTTAAGTTGAAAAATTCTCAATTTATTTATTTTTATATTCTTTTTTAAATTTGAAGTAACTTACCCTGGTGCATAGTTGCATATGAAAAGTGCTGCATATTTAATACGTCCAACTTCTGAACATGGAGTAACAGCACAACCAACTTTGTAAGTCTTGTCCCAAACAAGCTAAAATGAAATTTTCAAGAAAAACATGAAATTTAATTCTAAACAATTATTCTGCCATATTGTAAACAATAATATATTTAATATACATAGAACTTTTAACTAAATAATTTAAAAAATATGAACTTTGAATTAGCATGGTTTTAGGGTAGCATTTGCAACACTGTAGTTACAGAAATACTTTAATAAATTCTACCAGTAAGTATTCTTAGGATAAAACGTTTGAGAACCACTGATAGAGAATAATGCTTTCGAGCCAAAGAAAGACCCACCAGCTGAATCAATTTTCATCCTTTTATTGAACCTGAGTTCTAGGTTATTGGAAGAGAGGAAGAGGAAAAAAGAGGAGAGATATTTTTGAAAGAATAAAAGTTGTAAATAGAAGGGAGAAAAAGAGACACTAAGATTAGAGAAAGGGAAAAAAAGCGATAAAAGAGTAGAGAGTGATTGAATGCTATTGTCATTTTTCTTTTGTTGAAGAAATTCCATTATAAAAAAATTTTGGGCCTTTCATTTAAAAAAATGAATAAAGGAGCTTGCTCTTATAAAAGAAAAAGCTGGTATTAAATAGGAATAAAAATATGAGAATAGTTCAAGATATTCCAGAAATTCTCTGTAATGCTTTAATATTTCTAATACTTTCAAGTGACAAAAAAAGTACTTGTGTTGTTCTGTTAATCTCTGTGGGAGGGAGGGGAACCATTTTTCTTTCTTTTTATCCCAAGCCTTAGTGGTTTTAAAAGCATGGTTAGTAAAGAAATAGAGTGATGCATAAAAAGAATAGAGGATGGAGTCACTGCAACAGTTAAATTAGAGTTAGTCAGATTAAATGCAGGAAACAGAAATGTCTAAAATACTAAGTACAAAATATAGAGGAGTAGGTCAGAGAGTAGAATTTACTAGTTTACCGAAAGTATGAAGTTATATTAAGAATAGCTTTGATACAAATAAGATAATGGAGAACCATTATAACTTTCCAGAAGAAGAATAAACAGATCAAACATTTTTTGAAAGATTTATTTGATGAATGAGAAAGACATGAGTTCAACATGAAAAAAATTCCAAGATTTTAAGTTGTACATAAAACATGACATCAGTTTATTGATAGAAAAATAATCATTTTTATTTTATTTATTTTTGTTAATCCTCACATGAGGGTATTTTTCCATTGGTTTTTCAGAGAGGGTAGACAGGAGGGGAAAAGACAGAGAGGGAGAAACATAAATGTGAAAGAGACACATCGATTGGTTGCCTACTGGGGCTGGGGATAGAGCCTGCAATCGAGGTATGTGCCCTTGCTTGGAATCAAACTCTCTACCCTTCAGTCCTCGGACTAACATTCTAACCACTGAGAAAAAATGGCTAGGGCAAAAAATAAATAAATAAATCATATTTTACATAAGCTTAGAAGTTCATTTAATAAATTATTGATCCCTGATACAAATATTTACTGAAGACCTAAATAATGTCATGTTGTTGTGTTGAGAATAAACAGATGAGGAGATCCCTGCCTTTAGTGTAGTACCACATATAAATAATTATTAAACAATGTGATATATGAAATAATAAATATATGTATAGGAAATAAGTAGTTCAGTATTTTGGGGGGATAAAGTGTAAGATAGATTATTAGACATGAGGTAGGAAAATAATACTGTTAATTTGCATTTAAAAAGTTTTAACCAATTAGCTATATAGTGGTATGTGTACTGATCTGTGCAAAAAATATCATCTTACACTTATGTTTATAGTCAATAATTTAGAAATAATTTTTATTTTCTGGTTTCTGACTTCCTTGTCCAGTGTACATTATTTTTAGAAAAGTACCTTTCATATTTGGGTATGGAGGTTAAATTTCCTATATTTAAAATAATGTTTTAATTGTATGGTTCAAATAATAGAGAGAATTACAGACATTTTGAAGATCTAGGACTGATAAGAACTTTGATTCTATTAGACTTAATAATTTACCATTTGCATTTACTTATAAAATTTAAACAATCAATAAAAATTTGATAGTAACGCTATTAAGGAATCTACTGAATTAATAATATAAAAATTAGATACCTGCATATATTTAGAACAGTCACCAGAGCAAGTGCCATTTCCAAAATGGTACCTTTCCTTCTCTGCATACCAACTTCTGATAGCAATACTTGCAGTAAATTCATTTTCAAGGCCGACCCACATATTTTCACCAATACCATTAAATTTAGGATGGGCCATTTTTATTTCTTCTAAATGAGTATTACGCTCAAAAACACATTTTTTCCCCCATGCTCTAGCAGTCCGTGACAAAGCTACATCCCAAGTCTGAAAAAAAAATGCAAAAAGCAAAGAAAACAAAATAATTGATGAGTTTGAGTTCTCATAGTAAGATTTAAGGAAAACATTCCTAACTTTATGCTTAAGGGTTTTATTTGTGGAATTTCTATAGGGAACTTTTTTTAGATAATCATAAATGAAACTACTATTTTCTGGTACAAAGGACTATGCATATTAGTAATTAAAAAGTCAGATTGTTAGATGATGCAAACGATTATGATAATCTTACACAGAGTCTGTTCAGAAGTGTGTAATACTCATGTAGTCTCTTCAGAATATATATTTTTATTTTTTCAGAATATATATTTTTATCTCATACCTTTTATTCATAGTAATACAATAATCTATATATATAAAAGTCCAAGTGACCATTACAACCGGACAACCGTCTGGTAGCCATGATGTGCACTGACCACCAGGGAGCAGACACTCAACGCAGGAGCTGCCCCCTGATGGTCAGTGCACTCCCACAGCAAACCTCCTATGGCTAGCCAACTCCTTTGGTTCCTCCCCCTGGCCTGCCAGCCCGATGGGTCCCAATCGGGACTGGGCAAGACAGCCCTGATTGGCCCCAATCGCCAGCCAGGCTGAGGGACCCCACCTGTGCATGAATTCATGCACCAGGCCTCTAGTATAAAATATTCATTTAAGAACTATTTATTGATCACTAATTTTATGCAAAATATTGTGTTTTGAGGAAATAAAGTCTTACAATATTTCCAAAAATATGAGAAAATTTCACAAGATGCTGCTCCCTGGCCAGCTATCTAGAAATATTCAAAAATGTGTACTTTTGTTATTATTTAGAGCCTCATTAAGTTCATTGTTAAGGATACGAACAAACACAATACATAAAGAAAAATCAACAAAATAGTTGTCAAACCAAACACTAAGTACATATGTCTCAGTGTATCTGAAAGTAAGCATTTCTGAAAACTAAGATTTTTTTAGGGTTTTCTCAGTTAATTTCATAGATTATACATATATGTAATATAAAATATATCATAAAAAATAAACAAATCAGGCTTTTAGATTACCCCCCAACTACTTCCCTCCCCAAAGCTCATTATTGTTTAAAAAATTGCTTTGTATACATTTCTCTACACACACACACACACACATTCATATATAAGATACAAGTGGTATTTTAAATGCATATTTTGTGATTTTTCTCCCTTGCACTGTTGTAATAATTCCGTACATAATATTACTGGCCTGTGATTTGTAGTTGTCATTTAGAGAGATTGTTCCATATTAGCTCAAGTAGATCTACCTAACTTTTGCAATCTCTCCACAGTATTCTATATACTATAGAGTATTCTATAGCACATAATAAATGTTACCATTCCACTATTAATAATCTTTTAGATTTTTTCTCATTTGCAAACAATGTTTCATGGATCATCTTTTTATTGCCTTATTTTGTATATTGTTCATACATCACATGTTTACTATGTACCAGGCATTATTGTTTGTTTTTAAAAGTATTTTTTATTGATTTCAAAGAGGAAGGGAAAGGGAGAGAGAGAAACATCAATGATGAGAGAGAATCATTGATCAGCTGCCTTCTGCACACCCCCTACTGGGGATTGAGCCCACAACCTGGGCATGTGCCCTTGACTAGAATTAAACCTGGGATCCTTCAGTCCACAGGATGACGCTCTATCCATTGGGTCAAACCAGCTAGGGTGTCAATATTGTTTTTTATGCACTATTTAACTTAGTGTTTAGAATATTCTATGAGGTATGCATTATTATTATTTTTTGTTTCACAAAGGAAGTAACCAAAACACAGACAAGTATTTTACCTGTAGTCACATAAAACCAATAAATTATGGAGTCTGAATTTAACCCAGAAAGTCTAACTTTCAACTCCAAGTTTGGAAATATTTTACTTTATTCCTTCCCATGACAGTGTGTAAAATAAGTTATGATATTTACAAATTCCTTTGCTCAACCTTGAATAAAATTAGTTGAAAACAGGATCAATGTTTTTTCAATTATATAATACAGTGTTATCAACTATAGTCACTACCCTTTTACCAACCTCTTCCCTATTTTCCCACCCCCAGCCTGTGGAAACTACTTTCTGTTCTCTGAGTCACTTTTTTTTTTTTTTTTTTTTTAGATTCCACATATAAGTGATACCAATGCACTTCTTGTCTTTGTCGGGCTTATTTCACTTAGCATAATGACCTCAGGGTACATCCAAGTTGTTGTAAATGGCAGGATTTCCTTCTTTATCATGGATGATTAATATTCTATTGTATATATACACAACACCTCTTTATCCATTCATCCAATGATGGACACTTAGATTGTTTCCCCATCTTGACTATTGTAAATAATACTTAAATGAACATGGCATTACAGTATTCTCTTTGAAATCCTGTTTTTATTTCCTTTGTATATATACCCAGAAGTGGAATTGCTGGATCATATGGCAGCTCTATTTTTAATTATTGAGGAACTGCCATACTGTTATGGCTTTGCTTCAATTATACTTCTGTCACTCATCTGAATTCTTTCTCTCAAGCTGACTGGAGCTGAGCCCTCTCTGACTCAGCCAGATCTCCAGTAACAAAAGGGGAAAAGCTTCATTATATATGACAATGATTGCTTGGCTATGTCCTGAAAAGTACAGTAAAAAAGATACAAAATAGATAAATTAGGCTTTATCAGATTTATAAGCTTTTGTGAATCAAAGGATACTACCAACACAATGAAAAGGAAACCTATGCAATGAGAGAAAATATTTACAAATCATATATTTGATAAGGGGTTACTATCAAATATAGTAATTTCCTATTTATTTATCTTGTTTTATTTTTAAACAAGAATATATAAAGAATTTCTTCAACTCAACTAACAACAACAAGCCTGATCAAAAATTGAACAAAGGACTTGAATGGACATTTCTCCAAAGAAGACATACAAATGTCTAGTAAGTTCAACATAACTATACATTAGGGAAATGCAAATCAAAACCATGATGCCTATTAAAATGGATATCTATACTAATAAAAGGTAATATGCTAATTAGACCAGACATCCTTCTGGACGTCCTTCCAGACAAAGCCACAGTGGCAGGGGCCCAGGCAGAGGTGGTTAGGGGCAACCTGGCCAGCAGGGAAGTGCAATTAGGGGTGACCAGGCAGCAGGTAGAGTTGTTAAGGGTGATCAGGTAGGCAGGCAAGTGAGCAGTTAGGAGCCAGTGGTCCCAGATTGTGGAATCAGGCCTAAACTGGCCATTGGATATCCCCTGAGGGGTCCTGGAATGGAGAGGATGCAGGCCGGGCTGAAGGACCCCTCACCCCATGCATGAATTTCATGCACTAGGCCTCTAGTACATATATAAAACCCAGAAACTAACAAGTGTTGGCAAGAATGTGGAGAAATTACGACCCTCGTGTATTGTTGGTGGGAATATGAAATGGTGCAGCCACTATGGGAAACAGAATGGCAGTTCTTCAAAAAAAATTAAACATAGAGCCCTGGTTGGTGTGGCTCATTTAGTTAAGTGTCATCCCATGCACTGAGAGGTGGCCAGTTCAATTCCTAGTTGGGACACATGCTTAGGTTTGGGGCTCAATCCCTATTAGGGTGTGTTTTGGGATCTCACAATAATTAAGGTAAGCAGTATTTAAAAAAAATTGATGTAAAAACATTCTTGATGAAAAAAAAAATCACCATTTTAAATAAAAACAAGATCTGGCTTTTCATTTGCATCACCCTGAGAGTGCCTCACTAGCCTCGCCCTAACTCAGTGGTTCTCAACCTTCTGGCCCTTTACATACCGTTCCTCATGTTGTGATGCAACCATAACATTATTTTCATTGCTACTTCATAACTGTAATGTTGCTACTGTTATGAATCGCAATGTAAATATCTGATATGCAGGATGGTCTTAGGCGACCCCTGGGAAAGGGTTGGTCCACCGCCAAAGGGGTCGCGACCCACAGGTTGAGAACCGCTGCGCCTAATTGAAGACAAGGATCCTGTTGTTTAAATTGATAGTCTCCATCGATGTTTTTGCAGATTTTTAAATAAAAAAAATAAATGAAATGCACTGAACCGTCATTTCTTCGAATGGAAACCTCCTTAAATTGCACACCTCAGATGAGTGCCTCTACTCACCCTAGTCCCAGCCCTATGTAAAATCTTGGTAGCAAATGTGTTAAGAAGACGGTTTGTATTTCTTCAGTGAATAAACTTTACGCACATATATTTTTAAGCCCAAACGGAAAGTGCGGCTCCCCACAATCCTTAACCCTCCGAGCAGCGGCCCAGACTTTGCGAGGCCCCGGGGTGCGTGGTCAGGACAAGGGTTGTCAGAGGTTCAGGCAACTGCCTCGGGGCCTCACCATGAAGCGCAAGTTAGCCCCTGGGGGCTTGACCTTGCCTCGGAGTTCATTGTGGAGGTTCACGTACTCGTTGATAAAGTTCACGTCCTCTTCGTGCGGCAGTAAACCCGCGCACAAGCCGGACGTCAGCAGGAGTAGCCAGAGCTCACAGAGCCACAGCGTCAAATCGGCCTCCCGCGTCATGGGGAGCCACGGGACGTACCAGTCCTGTGCAAAGGGCCTCGGCGCCTCCATGGTCCACCGGCCAGCCGCGGACCGGCCAGTGCGCATGCGCTGGCCCGCCCCATGACCTGCCAATCCAGCTGGCCACGCGGACAAGGTTGGCCCCGCCCCACAGACACGGTTGGCCCCGCCCCTTGAGGGGAAGCCCTGCCCCTGTGAATGGTGGGTGAAGTTCCCTCCAGCTGTTGGCCCGCAGAACCCAGGGAGGCTGGAGTCAAATGGGTGCAGGCTCTTCACTAAACTAGTTAATGCAGCTGGATATTATCCAGAGTTGATTCCCGGCACCAAATGATGTGTCAGCGTTTATTAATAAGCCCTCTGTACAGTAAATGCCAATTGCCGAATAATTAACATGCCTGAGAAACCTTCTAATTACGCCAGGGTAAATAATCATTCTTCTGTGATATTGATGAAAATTATCGCCCCCCCCCTCCCCCATGCTTACCTGTTGACCTGGGAATTTAATGCAGAACATGGTCCTTATTTTCCTCGTAGACTGAAAAATATCCTCTTTAAGTTGGACTTCACTGAGATTTTCTCTGTGTTTTGCGGGAAATCACAAAATAAATGGAAGATTGGAAGCTCAACATGTAGGGGTTAAGCTAAGGATCATAAAATTATCATAAGCTTGAAATATTTCCATATTTTCTCTTACCGGAATTTTATAGGCAGCCTGGAATATCAATAACAATCTTCTCTGACAAAAATGTCCAGTTCATAGTAAGAATTTATTTTTGTTTTAATTTCTCCTTTCAGACAACAACTACTAGTGTCCTACCAGATTTTGGCCTGTGCTTTTTACAAACAATTTGCTCTAGAAAACTTACTTTGAAGGATATAAGTTCTAGGCACAAAATAAAAGCACACATTTGTTTGGGGGTTTCAATTGCACCCTCCTATATAACAAACGGGTAATATGCAAATTGACGGAACAGTAGAACCACCGGAACGCCTGCGGACCCTTGCCCCAGCCAGCCCACCCCTGATGGCCCCCATGGGCAGTCCAGCTGGACCCCACCAGTGCAGGATGCTTGATAGCATTAAGGAGATATTCAAAATCATTGACACTGGGACAGAATTTTGCCACAAAGAAAGCATTGTAACTGGTTGGTCAAAATATCTAAAAAGAAATGTACTTTTAAAAATTATCTATGGTTTACACCAAGCGTGTCAAACTCCCGGCCTGCAGGCTGCATGCAGCCTACAACAAGTATTTTTGCAGCCCAGCCAATATAACAGTAAGAAACGTTTTAATAAAATTTTGTAACTTAATTTTTACCATATCATGTTACACATAATTTTTTTAAATATATTTTATTGATGTTTCACAGAGAGGACGGGAGAGAGATAGAGAGTTAGAAACATCGATGAGAGAGAAACATAGATCAGCTGCCTCCTGCACATCTCTCACTGGGGATGTGCCTCCAACCCAGGTACATGCCCTTGACCGGAATCGAACCTGGGACCCTTGAGTCTGCAGGCCGACGCTCTATCCACTGAGCCAAACCAGTTTTGGCATTACACATAATTATTAATAATTAACTACAATGTTCTCTAATGACTGATTACTATAATCATGTTGCATTCATTTCCATTACCAGCCTTACGCTCAGGCGCACCGTTTCTTTCTACTAGTACTAGCAGCATATATTTTAGCAGCTGATTGCCACATTATTAGTCTTGGACTGACTTGTTTGGTGTGCACACAACAGGAAATATTTTGCTTTCGGAGAACAAGAAAAATAGGTTTATTTGCATTGCATTTATTAATTTATGCAGTTATTCAGTTTCTGGTAAGTTAATGTTCCAGAAAAAATATTAATTTTTATTAAAATGTTCTATTATTTTATGTTAACTATTACGCAGTTATTTCAGCCCTTTGTATTCAGCATGTCTCTGTCAAAATAAAACTACGTTTCTGTGAAAACTGAAGCTTTTGTGTTTTGTGGCCGACATACACTTAAATCTTGTTTATTTGGCCCGTGTTAGCCTTTGAGTGTGGCATGC